TGAATTATTTATTTCAAAATGCCTCTAAAATGTCTTAAAATACATGTTGGAAACACTTTAACCAAATAATTATTATATGTTGTACATTACTCTCAACAGCCACTGTGTAACTCTTTCATTAAAATGTAACTTAGTTTTGCCCTCATTGTTCAAAAGGGAACTGTTTCCAGGTTATTATATTTCTTCTGCTTGTTATTTGCAAGGTTAATATTTTTGTACGTACTTCCCCTGAGGCACATACCGGTAATTTCATAAACATATCTTTCATAAACATGTTGCTTTTGTGTCTCCTTTCCTCCATAAATAGGTACTTCTGGCTGCTAACAAACATAAACAGACCTCAGCCACCTTTACTTGATGACTGTTGGTCCAGTAGTGCCCAGTGGGTCTTTCCCGCCCAGGTGCTATAATTGGACGATCCGCAGCCCTGGGAGGTCCGATGCACTGTTAGCTTACCTGATCTTAAAGTGGGACTCATCGAAAAATACCTGTTTTTTTCCGTACTACCTGCCAGTGTGACCAAATTTCCACCATAAAACTGCCAACGAACCTTACCAGTGTGGGATAGGCAAAAAAAATCCTCCCATCCATTAGCCAATCAAGATGAAGGTAAAAAATTCCTTTCCGGCCCCTCAAAGAGGTGACCAGAAAAACTCACACTAGGAAAACAAGGGAGGCCTCCCATGTTTCAGGTGGAGAGGCAACAGTACCTTGACCACTGTTTGTGATGTCACTTTGTGATGCAATTCATCACCTTCATAAACCTCTGGTCCAGGACAGCAACCATCCATCTGGTGGGTGACCAGCACTCAGTCAGCTGTGTTGATCCAGTGATGGTGAAGACACAGCGCAAGCTCCTGGTTGCTCTCGGGAAAATGTTGGCAGCCCCAATTAGAGATCTCTTCTTTCTTCTTGTTATCACTTTGATAACATTATGTTTTCATTTTATTATTCTTTTGAAACTTCTGCAATTTTCCTTTGGTTCATAACACGTTTGAATCCATGAGGAGGCTCTTTGTTACAACCGTCTATTTGGTGGGTCTCCCGTGCTCTGGCAGCTGTGTTGATCTAAGGATGGAGAAGACCCAGCACAGGGTTTCAGGGTTGCTCCCAAAGAAGCCTTTGCAACTCTAATCCAATACCTCAACTTTACACTTATTCTCTTGTTCATAACATTAGGTTATCATATCGTTATCCTCTTGAAACTCCCACAGAGTGTCACTTTTATTCAAAAAATCTGTGAATCAATCAAGAGATGTTTCTGGTGCCTCTTTGCTGTCCATGAAATGCCACACCAGCTTTCCAGTGCCCAAGCGAAGGTAGGTTGTTGCATTACTGTTATTGGCTTGCTTTCTATATATAAAATGCATAGAGACAGGAAGCGTATCTCGTGTTCATTCTCCAGAAAAAGAAAATGGGAAAACTAGTTTTTCTTTACTCTCATTAATGCTGGACCTTTCTCTTCATTTTCTCTTTATGGTAGGTCTATCAGCAAAGACCAGCAAAGGGGCAAGGGTCTGAGGGAACAAGGATTGGGAGAAAGGAACAGAGGAGAAGTCCCTCCACCACCATTGAGATCTGGCATCTCCCATTCCTGAACCTCCACAGAAAGAAGACCTGGAAGCTCACTTGAGTAGAACGGCCCAACATAGGCAGCCCGTGGGAGAAGTCCATGTATGCTGGGCCTCAGAGAAACCTCTGAAGGAACAGCTTTCAGGAAACGCCCCATCAATCCCCCATAGGATCAGTGAGGGCAGTAGGATGACCAGCGGGGGAGAGGTCCCCAGGTCAGAGGAAAGCCAAATCATGGGAAACAGCAAAGGATGCAGGGAATGCAGATGGAAATGAAAAGGAGTTCCATCATTGGGAAGTGCATATGCACCTTCGGTCTGTGCTGCATCTGCTGTGTGTGTGTGTGAAAATCTTCATCAGGACTGCACACCGGGAGTCGCTCTTGATGCCCATTTAGTTCCCGTTTGAGATGACCCCTTCCCCTGTGTGCACACAGGGTGAGGTTCCCTTGCAATGAGGACAAAAATTACACAAATGTTGGACCAAATCCATATAATTTTATTATTATTATTATCATTATCACTATTATTATTGTATAAGAGATTGCTTTCCTTCAGGTATAACGTTAACCACCGATCTATTTCAATAAAAACCTTTTTTGTGATGTATGTTTATGAAGATGCAAATTTGTGTGACTTCAGGGAGGTCTCGTGTAGGAGCATGTAAAATGTGCAAACCCCAGAGTCCATTGGAGTCCAGATGTTCAGAACCTACATGTCTTGAGTCAACACTTCTTGGCTGTTGCCATCCTGCAACACTCGTGTTTTCCATAGAGGTTGATCAGGCTGAAGAAGTCCCTTCTCTTGCTCGGACACTTCAGACACACCCCAGATGGCGAGAAAAGGCTGGGACTCTCCACATTTGACTGGTTTAAACTGATTCCAGAAATGGATTTGATGTTTTAAATCAGTGGTTCTTACCCTTTTTTCGCCCCCTTGAGCCATTGAGGAAGTTATCATCACCCCCTCCCCCAACATAACGCTGGCACAGCGACGGCACAGCAGCGATGCAGCAGCAGTGGCAGCAACGGATCTGCTGCCAGAACCAGCTGCTCTGGATCCGCCTGCTGGGTTCGCTGCCTGCACAGTGGCTGCAGCCGCCTTGTCAGGTTTGGCTCGCTCCATCACCCCCTTCTGTCCCTTCGCCTCCTCGTCGCCCCTTTTCATTCCATCTCTCCCTTGAAAAATGAAATCGCCCCCTAGGGAGCGATATCGCCCAGGTTAAGAACCACTCTCTAACTGAAACTAACTTTAGCATAGTAAGTCACAACTAGAATAGGCCCATTTGAATTAATGGAACTTACAGAGAGGTTGACTCACCAAATCTCCATAGATTCAATTGGCCTACTCTAGTGTAATGTACTAGACTAAGCCACAGGATTTGGCCAACAATTGTGACCATGTACAAGGTTTATAAGAAGTGCAAAAATTTAAATGAGTATGTATGTGGCCAAAACTAAATACAGTAGATTAAACTGAGTCAATAAATTAAATGCATGGTAACCATGTCTAATCACCTCATGGATTCTATTCAATGGATTCAAGTATGGAATCCATACTTGTATGGATTTAATACAAGTAAGAAATCAGATGGGACTAATGAACTTAAATTTGTTTTATCATCTGAATAAAATAAAATGTCTTAGTATCCAATAGTGCAATGGCCAGAATCTTGTTGCTGATTTATACTTGCATAAGAAAATCACATAAGTCTCAGAGGCATTCCTGGGTGCATAGAAGGCATAATCAGAACTCAGTTTCCTTTATGCAAGCGTAAATTGATAAGAAGACTTGGGGTTGCATTTTCATTGAAATTGCTCCTCCTTGGTTAGTTTTTTTAATAAAAAATTATTCATTTGTGAATTACGAAGTAAGGATGAAATATGTGTTAATTTTGTGAATCATTTGCTAGCCCCCTCCACTGCATGGAAAGAAGGTGGAGGAAGCATCATCCTGTGGAATTTTGTAGATTTTCAAGAGACTTGCTACCTGAAGTTTCTGAATCCAGTCCCCCAATAACAGCTACCACATTCTTCTGGAAATCACATCTGTAGTTTGGGATAGTCTTTTTCAAGTTGGAGAGAAGATTCTGAGTGTTCTAATAAGTCATTTTTGCATTCAAGTAGCTAACACAAATATGAAATCCCAAGGTGATGTTGGATAAAATACTGGGCTTGTCATTCACCTCATTTACAGCAAACACAAAAGCCAAAACATGCTGGTAATTCTTTGGTACTGTGCTGAAACAAATGTCTGACAATACATTAAATGCCATTTCAGCACTTCATTCACTCCTCACTAGCATTTATGGTTATAGTGAAAACATCACTCATTGTATCATTAAATGTAAACACATTAGGATTGTATTGCATATACCTTCAAAGAGTTAAAAGAAAGGAATTGTTAGGTGATGACATATTTTACCATTTAAAAAAAATAGGTACAGGGAGTTGTGATGACAATCCTAAACAAACACACAATTTTCATATCAGATATCCTCATTCCCATAGGTCTTTCAGACAGAATTGTTTTACCTTTTTCTAAAGAACACTTTTAAGTTGCAATTTTTTTTGCACCTTCATTCTCTACAACCGCCGTAATTAGATGAAAATTTTGCCCAAAGTTGTTTTTAAACTCAGCCAGACATGTATGGATATATTTATCTATATAGCTGTAGATCCATATGGGTCGGGGGGGCATTGTTCATGATATGTCTTAATTTTGTCCACTCTTAGTTTTTTTAAAAACTTTTTTGGACAGTGGCTGCTGTCGAAATTCCCATTCTCCCCGCACCAGTTTCTAACTGCCATTGCTCTGGTCAAAGAAGACCTCTCTATTATGCCTGGGCCCACCTCTTGTCGAGAGTCAACTTCTCAAGTGTCCCTTGCTCTGGCCAGAGAGGAATAAGAGCTGCTACTCACCACTCCATCATGTCTTTCTCTCCAACCTCCAGATGTATACCAATGCTGGAGATAAAACATACTGACAAAGACTCTTAGGCATATAGCACTATTGTTATTATAAACCTGCCCTCTATGTCAGAAAAATAAGTTACAAATTCTTATATTGTTTCATCAGTCAGCTTTGTCCTTGGCTCTTCTTCAAAGGCCATAGGCTCAAACAATGAAAAGAACTGGGAATCTATCACCTGCCTGATCATATTCATATGGAATATACAGACCATCTCTCATGCTGCATGCCAAACGTTGTGCCTTGCATCCAGTTTCACATCTAAAGTCATCATGTCTGTGTCAGATGATCATATCTCAATCAACTTCTACATGAAGTCCATAAAACAATGTACATGAGAAACCATGTCAGGAATGAAAGCTTTAAAACAACTGACATTGTTTTAAAATTATAATTATTTAATGCAACTGGCATGCCTCCCTTAAGTATTGAACAACACAGTAAACAATGACCAAAAAGTATGGGGCTCACTGATTCAAGAGCAACAAATGCTTTATTAAGATATACTTTTAAAAATATAAAGTAAAATTCCAGTCTTTGTTTACCTGAAATTTGTAAATTTAGTCTTATATCCATATTTATCAGCATACCTGTTTCATCATTTGGTCATTTCTTTAATTTGGCCTGAAAGTTATTTTAGTCTTATACAATCATTCAGGTAGTAATAAATATAGCTTCCAAGAAAGGATACACACACAAAGTCAAAGAAGCAGCTCACATGCTATAGTATGAAACTATCAATTCGAAGAAGTCTCAACATTACTGGATGAAAAAGAGATTCTAAGTTTCATCCCATGAGAAATGGAGACAGAATCTGGTGAACTGAAGGTAGTTGGCTGGTGGGGGTGGGGGAGAGAAGCAAAGAGCTCATGGACTGAAGAGGCCTTTCATTCTGGAGCTGTACGAACTGGTATCCAGAGTAGAGATCTTGGAAAAGTAACTTCTTTGGAGTACAATCACAGAACACCCTTTCCTGTAAGGCCACTTCAGCCATTTTAGATCTCTCTTCAGTACAAACATGAAATGTATAATCAATAATTTGCTTACAATACAAATCACATGGAAATATGGCTGCTGTTGAAACCTGCCTTAAGCAAGGTTGTGTGATCCACAGGTAAAAACTGACATCCAGCAGAGCACCAATTATTTAGCAAGTAAAGATCCAATTCTCTAGCAAGTAAAGATCCAATTAGAAAATGCCATTCAGGAAGCATCACAGCTTTCTCAATTACGATGGGAAATTAGAACATTTCTCATAATATGAGGAATCATGAGGTAACATGTAGTGTCGCGTCAGAAGCAATTTGGTATCTCGGATCTTTAACTGGGTGGCAGTACCAACCATTATTCCTTAATCAAATTCCGAACTGAAATGATATACACTCATGACACACATAAAGTAAGGCCCATATTTGAAGTAGCAGGTATCCCAAAGTACACTTCAAGTAACAGAATGTGAACACTGGAAGCCTGAGGCAAGGTTATCCCTTGAATGATATCCAATGTTCCCAGCTATGCGTGCTTAGGCAGGCATATCCTTATTTTTGGTGGCACAGGCACAAATATCAGAACAAACTAAACCAGAATATCTTTTATGGCTTTTGTGTCAAGAAGCCACTAATATATTAATTATTATGTGCTGCAAGTTGATTCCAACTTATGGCGACTATTTCCAGTGTTTCTTAGGTATAGAAGTACTCAGAAGTGGTTTAGCGTTTCCTTCTTCTAGAATCACTCTGGGAATGTGTGGTTTAACCAAGGCTGCATAGGTTGGTTCTTACACAATAACTCCCAAACCCTGGCTCTCCAGCCAGATTCCTAGGTTGCAGAGCTATTTTCATTATTTCCTCTGCAAAATTCAGCCTTTGCTTAAATTTCTTGGACATACAGATCCATTAACTCTTGTACTTGGCTATCCAAAGCAGGAAGCGTTGATACACCTTCCAATGCAGAAATGGAATTAAACAGTGTGTCATCACTTTAATAAAGATCCGATTTTTAAAAATATTGTAAATTACTACAGTACATGTTCAGCTGGCTGACTGGATAGCTCAGTGGTTTAAGTATCTGGCTGCAGAGCCAGAGAGTTGGAAGTTCGATTCCTCACTGTGACCCGTTCAAGGAGTCATAAGCTGCACAATCCTAGAGCGCAGCCAGAAGAACAGAATACTAAATCACTTCTATGTATGCTCTACCTAGAGAATGCCAGAAAGGGTCACCATTAGTCAAAATCGACTTGACAAGCATATACATACATTAAAATATACAGTATTCCAAAATATTTTCTTATGAAAATTAACATAAATTCAACAAACATAAGGCAAATATTTCCTCAGCCTTTCTCAACAATCCAAAACAGGGAATATTTGTGATGGTATTCTTGTGATGCATTCATTAATCAATGCATGGTAACGGGATCTACTGACCGTGATTTGTGTAGACGTTCATTTGGCGCTGACCAACATTTGAGTTGATCCCCTCTGCTATGTCTTCTGTACAAGGTACAGAAAGCATATACACATATATACGTTTATATATAGTTTGTATGAAGACCTTCTACTTTGGCAACATCCATGATACACTGAATGCCCACTTTACCCTTGTAACAGTCAGGTCAGACACCAAGAATTGTAAGTTTGAGTCCCCTGTACATTTCATGGTTTAGTGGGGACTAGAACCCACATGTGCCGAGCAACAACACATCACCCTAACCCACACACTGTTCTGGGTTTCCTGGGGTGCAATTTTGCAGTTCCCCCTAAGTGGACTGCAATGACCAGGCACAAATCAAAACATCCTGTTCCTGATACTAAGCAGGATTGGACAGACATGAGGGTGCTGCTTCCCAATTCAGAACGCATTCTCGCAATGCATCTGATATATCATCCCACCTCTCCAGATGGAAAAAGCCTTCCTAGAGCATCTTCTCCTTATGGTTGCCCTTATAGGATAACACATCTATCAGAATGTTTGGGTGGAGGTGAGGAATTGTGAGGTGTCTGTTTTCTCGGCAAAGAAACAGAAGGGGAGCCAGTTTGTTTGACAACTGTGGGCATGGCATTCCTTTGGTCAGAAGCATCATCATCAATACCACCCATCCAAAAAGTACCGGAAGCTTTGTGGCACGAGCTGGTCGTGGACTCTACCGAGTAAGGCGGTGAGGTCTGTGGGCGGGTGCTTGGCATAGTTATGGCAACATTCACACTGGTGTGTGGTTGACAATGGATAAATGACTGACGGTCAGAGAACAGAACATCAGAATTACTGGTGATACTAGATGAAGGATGCAAGAGATGGTTGCAGGGGCTGGTGATGGGGTCTGAAAGGGACGATGGTGAACTTGCCAGTCCTGTGTCTGAGGTAGCCAAGGCACTGCTTCTACTAGAGGACTGTTGCTGATTTGTGAAGGCTGGAGCCTCCGAGGGTGAATTAGTATTCTTTTTTATACTTGAGGAAGCATATGAGGGCTGTTGGGATGCATTGATGAGAGAAGGAGAATGGGAACTGAATGATGGTGTACTTGACGGGGTTAGAAGAGGGTCTGCATCACTATATTGTCCTGGATACATGGATGGTGAGGGCTTAGAAGTTGTTCCTTCCAAAGTTGTGTCTGGAAGTTTCTCCTCTGCCCCAGTAAGAGAAAGACCTTGCAAATCATCCTGCAAGGAGTGGTTAGAACATGGAGGTTGATGGACAGCCTGAGATTTGGGTGAGATGGAACTGGCTGCTTTTCTAGAAGAAGGGAGCGGAGGCCACCCTGCAGGGGAGACATCGGCAATAGGGGGCAGGGTCCCGGCTGGTTTTTGCACCTGAGAAATGGTAGTTGATTGTGGAACACCCTGAGTATAGGTCCACTGTTCTGCACTGTGGATGGGAAATGGAACCTGAGCTGGTTTCTTGGGGGTGACCGTGTGGGCCTGAAGGTGGCTCTGCAGTGCAGTCTTTGGAAACTGGATTTGAGAAGGATTTACTGGAGTTGAGAAGAATGACGCTGGGCTCCTGGTAAGGTCCGGAATTTCAGAAAGGAACGTGACCGGTGGGCACACGATCGGCTGTGCCCATGCTTGAAAACGGTCAGAAACCGGCTGGGGGACAAAAGCTACAGGAGCACCATTAGCCAAACTCCAAGGGTTAGTGAAATGTGTGGGTTTTGGAACAAGGCCGCTAGGTCTAAAATTCTTATCCCACCTTGTGGCTTGGGGGACTGTAGGGAAAACCACAGGGGGCTGGGGAAAGGGAGCACATACTGGATTGGGGTTAGGTATGGGTGCTTTCTGCAGAAGGGACTGAGAATACAATGAGCATTCCTTGTTATTGTTCCGTACACGGTGCTCAGAAGATTGGAGGAGAGAGAGACGGGGTTGAGGCTTAGGCATCGCTGCAGGGTGTTGGGCCGGAGGCTTAAGGCATGACTTGGGTGGCCCCACAATGCTAGCTTTAGGTAGAGCGATAGCAGGATCCACCGTTGCTTTCTCCTTTCTGGACAAATCAGGCTGACCTGAAGTATCTTCCGCATTGACTCTGGCCCTCTGACGCTCTTCCCAAGGATTTGTGGTTTTCGGTGCCGTTAGTGGCTGAACTCCTGGGAGGAGGGAGGATTCCTTATCACCTGGCTCTCTGTAGTGGTCTGGCGCCAGGAAGGAAATGGGGCACTGCTGAGGCACCTCTGGCACCTTAGAAAGAGGAACAGGCTTGCGTGGCCCTGCAGGTTCTGCCCCTGTTCTGGTTGGCGGCAACACATGACCAGGAACCGTAGAAGTTTCTTCCACTGTGGAAGAGACAGGCTGACCTAAAAGGCAGAAAAACAAGGGCGGCTGAAAAGAGATGGATCACAAGAGTAGTGGTGAGAAATGAGAGGGGGGGCAGATGGGCAAGAAATCTTTCCTGAAGCCTGTTATAGAAACCCAGGAAGAAATGGAAAAACAGAACAGCTTAGGTCCCTTCAAGGACCCAGTGAGCAGGCTGCCCTCTTGTGGCCTGGGTCAGGAACTGCAACACCAAAAAATCAAAACACAGCCCCAGATGTGCTTCTGTTTGACAAAGCGTTAGTAAATGATGAAATAATTCCAAATGAAAGTTTTGGAAAAATTGCCTTTTTGGACTACAACCTCAAGAATCCCCCATTCTGGGAGTTGTAGTCCAAATAGTAACTGTCCCAGGTGCTGCTCTAGGCGAACGTCCGACTTGTCTTCTGTGTTTTTATCACATATTCTTTCCCTCCCCAAACTATATGAATGGCTACTACTGTTTAAATCATTCTTTGCTTAGGTTTTATTGGCAGATCTTTGGTGTTCCACTTGCCCACAAGCAAGCCTGACATGCTCTCAGTGCTTAAAAAAAAAAGAATCTTTGGTTTTGAATTCTACACATTCTACCATCCTTTCACAAAATTACACAAGGCCTCAACTCCACATCACTCACTTTGGGGGGATGAGATGCTCTTTTAGTATAGTAACAGTGTGGTAATAGCGTGGGGCAATCCCAGGAGGCACAGCTCCTCACCGTGAGGAGTGGGAGACATTAGTTGGTATGGAAACTAATTTTCTGTCCCTGCAACCTCCCAGGAGTGGGAGACATTAGTTGGCATGGAGACTAATTTTCTGTCCCTGCAACCTCCCAGGGACAAAAAGACAGCCAAAACTGCCATAGATAGTTTTGTGGAAAACACTAAGAAGTGCATATTGTGCTAGAGCCTTGTATTTCACACACCAGAAAAAAACTCTGTTTTGCACAAACAAGAACATTTTTAAACAAAATACAAGGTTTGCGGTTTTTGTAAAGCCAAGCACAATTTTTTGCACGAGAAGTCAATGTTTTCGCTGCTGCTAAATAAAAAGACTAGACTTTTCTTCACATGAATGAGCAAAAAACGTTGTAGCAGCTGACAATATCTTCAGCATGCAAAGACAGCCAAAACTGCCATAGATAGCTTTGTGGAAAACACAAAGAAGTGCATTTTGTGCTAGATCCTTGTATTTCACACAAAAAAACCCTCTTTGTTTTGTACAAAGAAGAACATTTTAGACAAAATACAGGTTTTGGTTTTTTTAAAGCAAAGCATAATTTTTTCCACAGGAAGTCAATGTTTTCGCTGCTGCTCAATAAGAAAGCCTAGACTTTTCCTCACACGAATGAGCAAAAAATGTTGTAGCAGCTGACAATATCTTCAGCATGATATTCTCAATAGGTTGCAGCACTGGGTTTTTTATTATTCATAATGAGAAAATCTGCAAGTAGACATTATATCCTCAAGCTAAAAAGCCACTTTCAAGTTTGAAAAATGTGTATATAGGGGCAGTAAAGGTGCAGCGGGAGCCAACTCCTGGAGTTTTCTGGGGGCTAAAATTCACATTTTTAAAAATTATTATCAGAAAAAGAGGGAGCCAGGGACTCATTAAAACAGCTTCGGGGAATTTGCATGCTGTCTTACAGCTGAACTTTGCCCACCTTGTTCTATTCTCAGCGAATCAACTAGTTCTTTTAAAACTAATTTCACCACAATAATATTTTTAATGTATAAACACAGTAAAACACTGCACAACACTCACCAGGCGCTGCAGGGAATGCTGGAGATGATACGGGCAGAAGCAACGTTTGGACTCCGCAGCCTTTCAGCCGGACGACATCTGGCATCTCCAGCAAACACTGTTTGGCCGAAGAGGCGTTGCCCAGTGGCAGGTGCTGTTGATACATGGCACTGTATGCCACGCGGAACTGGAATAATGACAGGCCCTCGGGATGTGTGGCCAGGATGTGGGCCACCCGCCGCTTCACCTCTTCTAGGTCCTTGGAGGGCTGGTCCTTTACCAAGATGGATTTCCTTAGTTGCTTGGCATCCAATTGGCAGGAGACTTTGTTAGATGATGAAGGCTCAGTCAACTGGCATGGCCTCGGCGGCTGGGCTAAGTTAGGGCAGAGAAGATGGGGAGAACTACCGATCTCGGAATGCAACGTACTGCAAGGTTTCCCAGAGGATGCAAAAATCGGAGGCGATGGAACAGGCTTGCTTGTGTGGCGCCCGTTCTCAACTGCTGGAGACACAGAAGCAGCTGGAACTGGCAAGCTCTGATCCTGAGATTTACTTGCAGAAGCATCACAAGCGGTATACAAAGGCTTGGCATTGTCTCCAAAGCCTAGGACAAAGAAAACAGATAAACAAATATTCCTGTGGAAGGCACGCCAATAAAATATCTGCAATGTCTACCATTTGTTTCAACAATTGTCCCAAAGCATAAGACAAAAGGCACCCGAGTAAACAACCTTGCTGAAGCCAAGCAGATTTGAGCAAAGCTTTGGAAAAAAATTAAATTGTTTCTCCTGTTTGTTTTAAAAAACATTTATTCATTGTCTTCCAAACTACTACTAGGGTACTCAAGTAACGAAGTGTACAAACCACTACACAGATTTTATAGCTTCCCCTGTGAAATATGCCTTCTTCCTCCATTCTTTCCCTAAGGATTTTCCACACAGTGGGATCAAATAAAGCTCTTAAAAAGGCAGTTTGGTCCTTAAACGGTCCATGAACAAAGCTATTCTGTTTATTTTAGCCAAACAAGCAGACAGAATATACTAGAACTATGTACACCTCTCTTTAATAAGTAACTAGTTATCTAATTGGATGCATGTCAACAAATGGACAAATCCTTTCATTGCAAAATAAAAAGTTCTTAATTAGAAATTAAGAGCCATGCCTATATTTTCAAACTGCCTGTTATCTAAATTAGTAGTTAATTATATTGTGCCTTATGCTATGTCTAATGAGGGCTGCGTGGTCAGGGAGTTTGTAGTGTGACAACTGGGACTACACAGCCCATGGACAGGGAACTATAGCTCTCCACACTATGCAGAACCACAATTTCCCACCATGCTTCACCAATGGCCAGTAAGACCGAGACTGATGAGAAGTGGAGCTTACCAACCTCTGGAGGGTCAGAGGCTCAACATCTGTGAGCAGAGATGGGCACGAACTGCTGGTTCGGCAGTTTGTTCAATGGCAGAAGAGGTGTTCTGCAGTTTGGTGCCCTGCCTCCTGTCAGGTGCCCGCTCAGCAGGCACCTGAGGAGGTGGGGCAGGGAAACGGAGGTACTGCTCACAAGTGGGTAACCACCGGAGAAGGCAGGGTAACAAACCACAGAACACCTTGTTCAGCTGACACGGGAACTGGCACAAACTGTCAAACCATGCCCATCTCTCTCTGTGCTGATTAAGAAGAACCACATGCATCCTCTTTTCACTTCCCCAAAGGGGTAAAACATAGAGCAAGGAGAGCCATCCTTTGGATGACTCAACCATTAAATAATGACACTTTGTAGATCACACAATGAAACTGACTTCATTTGCCTATCACAGATTTGCATAGACCTCTGCACCCCAAAGTAATTGGCATAGAAATGACTACTCACATGCAAAACTCTTCATTTAAAGGCTACCCCTCCCTCCCTGACCCCGTTTTAGGCCCTAAAATGCCTTTAAAAAGAAAACAGAAGTGGCTATCCAGGCACCTCTTGTTTTGAAAATCGGGTGATTTTGGTTCCTCAAAATCTGGGGAGATCAAAAATGGCCTCAGGCTTTCCAAAGCTTCTCATCCCTAATTTATCAGTATACACTGTGTCCATGTGGCTAAGGACTCTCCTCCACTTTTATACAGATAACCACACAAGAAGGGGAGTTACCTAGTACTGAGTTTATCGGACCAGTCACTTGCGCCGGCTGCAAAAGTGGAGGGGCAGAGTCAACACCTGGACCTAGTAAGGAGAGAAGAGTCAAAAAAGTCACATAAGCTAGGGCAAACACATGATCCAATCACAAGAAAGCAGCTGGGCAAGATCAGTTCATGTGAATAACATCATGACTGGCATGATCTCAAAGGGATAGGAGATTCGAAAGAGTATTTACTAAGCCAGCACTCATTAGCAGAAGAGTATGCATGCTATTCCAAAGAATGTGCCACATGTAGAAGGGAATGGCAACTGGCACCTGATTGCACACAAGAAGTACACCCTTGCTCAAGGGCAATCATTCTAGGCTTGTGCCATGTGCAAATACCTGCAAAGCCAAGGAATATGCAGAACTAGCGGCAATTTTAGTTCAGATACAGTGGTGCCCCGCATGACGACAATAATCCATTCCGGGAAAATCACTGTTAAGCGAAATCGTCGTCATGCAAAAAGCCTTTCCCCATTGGAATGCACTGAAACCAAGTTTAATGCGTTCCAATGGGGAAATTACCTCGCCGTCCAGCGAAGATCCTCCATAGGGAAGCCATTTTGAGAGTGCCGATCAGCTGTTAAAATGGCTGTCTTGCGAAGCATGGGTCTGGAAAATGCAGGGCAGCCATTTTAGGAACCTGACGATCAGCTGGGAAAATCACTGTCTTGCAAACAAACGGTTCGCCAAACACGGACCTAATCGTTGTCAAACAAAAATCCCCCATAGGAAACATCGTTTTGCGATTGCTATAGCGATCACAAAAAAGTCATCGTCCTGCGGATTCATCATATAGTGGGGTCGTCATCTAGCGAGGTACCACTGTACAGAGCAGACATTTCCAACCGTCAACTTACACTTTTTCACTAAAGAATGCAACTTTTTCCTCTTTCTTTTTGTTTTCCCATTTGCTAAGTCAGACCAGGAAGGGAAACATCCATATTAAAATAGAGCCGACATGGATTCTGAAGCTGCCTTAACAATCTACGGTCTGGTTTACTCTCAGCCAGATAAAATATTCCTAGTACGAAACAGAGACTGAGGGAATCCTACTCACTAGTCAATTAAGCCAATTTAAAACAATCTATCTTAAGGCAGAGCCAAAGATTTGCTAGAAGTAAATTAATAGTGCACGTAAATCAACAGAATTAAATTCACAGGCCAAATGAACCGGGGGTCAGCTAAAACTTTGCTGAAACCAAGCTCCCCCCAGGTTTTTACTTAAGACTACTGATGTCCTGGCATAACTTTGTACTAGTATTGTTCTTGAGGTGGTAGAAGTCTGAATCAGGAGTAATCCCATCTGCCCTTTTTGGGGGGAGAGGGAGCTCTTTTATGGGCAATTCTTAGCATACAAGAGCAATTCTGGCAGAACCCTGGGGTCAGCTAGCAGAAATGAGTCTGGTCAGCAAAAGGGCATTTTGCTCAGTAGAAGGAATGTATACCTAATCCTGCCCCCCCCCCTTTCCACTGCTGTAACTCTGAGTTAAGGTTGCACTGTAAATCAATGGTTGAAATTGGGCAGGTGGGATCTGCTCAACAGGAAGGATGCCAACGTTGGTGGCAGACTGGCACTGTTTGAACACTTCTTTTTTATTTCAGGGTGCACCTGGCTTCATCTCATTGCATGCAAGTGGCACACACCATGAAAATAAAAAAGGAAGTCTTTAATCAGCAGCCCTTTGCTGTTGCTGATGACATCATTTGTTGTGGAGGTGGAGCTGTATAAGAGGATTCCAGCCAGTGGTTCATAACCTCTGATCCGCCAGACATTCTGAACTTGAGTTCTCAGAATCATGGACCATCTTGGCTAGGCCTTCTGAAAGGTGAAGTCTAAAACATTTAAAGGACCAAAAGGTTGAAAACCACTAGATCGAATTACTTTGATTGCATACATTACTGATGTCTCTCAGTTCAACATGCTGCTCTCAAAGCAGAGAGCTAAAAGGCCACATCTTCTTGTATCCACATTCAGAAAGGGAACTAAGGGCAACTGAGGGAAAAAAAGGCAATGGAAAATCAGCCTGGCATCAGCCATCAGCAACTGCTGACGGATTTGTTCCCAAGAACACAGCATATAATAAAAAACAATGCCTTAGTTTGACTTCCTCTCCTTCTTCCTGTTTCTGTTTGTATTGAATGTTTTAGATTGTAAGCTAGGGGGTCTTATTCTTGATCACTATAAGCAGTTCTTGCAGAAATAGTTTTTTGGCTGAAGCGTTGGGAAGAGGAATCACACACTTTAAATATGAACTTTAAATCTGAAATGAGAGGTTCATTCATATACAGTAAAATGGACACAGTAAACCTGCTATAATCTGTCCCAATTCTTAAAACATCTGTTCAGAATTAAATCGTATTTATCAGCAAAACAGAGATACAGTTCCACTCGCCCAGAATAAACTAGAATTCCAGAGAATCCTGGTTTACTGTGAATGAAACGTGTATAGCCATCCACTCCTACTTTGCTCCTTCTCATCAATGTGGCCATCTAACAAGCCAGAAACATTTTCTTTACCACACTGTCTAACGAGGCTCCTGGTTCGCTGCTCCAAAATAGGCCAGGATCTGTAAACAACTAACATATCCTGGTTTGCAATTCTGGTTTGCTGAAGGAGCAACAAATCAAGATCGCCACGGCAGATGACACTGTAAGCCATTCTTTAGCAGTCAGTCTAACAGAGGTGGCTAAGCAGAATTCTTTTTTAACCAAAGACACCAGTTTATAATGGCATCTTTAATTCTAGTGTTCGAAAGACTAGAAACAATGGATCATAGGTACTTAGTAGTTCAGCCTGTGGGTGATTTTTATATCTGTGACCAAGATACAATACAGTTCAGTCGTCTGCCTCAGGTTACCAAGAGAGTAAAATCTAGCACTTTTTCTTCCAAACTTTACCTGATATCCGTTTAACGACACAGCTGAGTCTATCCTCCTGGTTTATGAAGGCTAGTTTAGGCACTTGACACACCAAAAACTGCAGTGAATCTTTGTAACCTTGGGCGATGCTGAATTTCTCTAGATCAAATCCTTCCACAGCCAGGAGGAACTCTTGCATTTCCTTAACTCTCAGACCCGACGTATACATGGCAAGGAGGTTGTTGACTAACGTGACACCTTCTGCCAACACTACTGGAATTCGGGGGGTGGGGAGGAGAGAGCATAAATGTAAACCTCAGAAACGTCATCAAAAATAATATGCATTAAGCCAATCCAGATATAAGCACAATACAGTACCTACATTTCATGTAAAATTAAGCTAGAAACCTTGCCTTAAAGAATCGAGACATAAATTGCAGTCTGCTCAGATATTAAGACAGAGATACAAAAAAAAACCAAAGCAAAACAGCAGCGAAAGTTTGAAAGCCCAGCTAACTAGTCCCAAACAATACATCCCATGAACTGTAAGATAAAGAAAGAAAGCAGTGATTTGAGTCGCTGGCACCATGTTCTGTGTCTATGGAGAAGGAAGTATTGGGTGTGGATGAAGCAGAACTGGAAATAAGCCCTAGAAAACCTCAAATCCACTCAAAACCATCAATACATTTTATTATTAGGGCCTACGCAATAGGATTTTGACCAATGTCTCCTAAGGCCGATTCCCCTTTTTTAAAAAAAGGAATGCATTATCCACAGTAACCAAACAAGCTTAATTAGATACTTGAGGTCACATTACCTAAGGTCACCAAGGAAAGTATAATCGGACATCTATAATTCCTGCTAAATATACAGTATGTATAGGAGGCATCATTTGAATGGGATGTGCAAAGCTTCTGTGCCTCCTTAACTGTTGGCAGTACATCATCTCCATACCTCTGCGAAATCAAAATACTGGGGGCAGGAATATTTTCAAACTCATTCAACAATGGTTCTGCGTGAAATTAACAGTATTCTTCAAAATTCCTTTCAAGGCAGAAAGGATTTTACTTATTATTAATCAGAATCAGAAATTAAACGCTATAAGGACGACCAGGCTCAGCAGATGCATACACAGTGGTGCCTCGCAAGACGAACGCCTCGCAGGACGAAAAACCCGCAAGACGATTGGTTTTTGCGATCACTATGGTGCCTCGCAAGACGGCTTCTTCTATGGCCGTGCTTCGAAAGATGGGTTGTTTTTCCCCCCCGAGACTGATGACGGGCAAGACGAAAAAATTTCATTCGTCTTGCGAGGTTCCCATAGGAATGCATTGCAATGCATTCCTATAGGAAACCGCTTTTTGCAAGACGATTTTCTCGCAAGACAGGGCTACTCGTGGAACGAATTACATTCGTCTTCCGAGGCAGCACTGTATAAGACCTAACAGTCAGCCTTATACACAGCTACTTTTCTCAATCTCCTGGGCCCACTTCTGCTTCTCTCCAACTGCCCACCTCTACCTGTATACCTCTACCAGCTATATTCTCTCCCATCTCTTTGACAACCAGCTACACATCCTACACCTGGTTCGCCAACTGACTCATACATACATATGGCCTCATACTCGGAATCCTTCAGAGTTAACTGCAACCTTACCTTTCTTCTTTTCTTCCACATTTTGGGGAAGGGGCAAGGGTTTTGATCTGTTTGTCGGCTGCTTCAAATCGAAGGACAGAGGAACACTCAACGGGGATGAAGGGGAACTGCAGGAAGGTGGGGGAGCTGCAACACAGCAGGAAAATGAGGGGAAACAGAGGAATGTGGAAGTTAGCATACACAACATTGAGATCCGTGAGAGGGACTGACCAACAGTCCTTCTAATTTTGGGATACCAGCTGTGACCAGAAGCAATTCAGCAGCCCTGATCCAGTACTACAAGGCCCCAATTCAATGCTGCATGGTGGTACGGCTTAGAGGGATCATTGGTCTTGATACAAATCCTTACAAGGAAAAATTTGGAATATTCACTCCACTCCCATTTACTACCAATTAAGAATTAAGGATCAGTTCAACTCTTCACAGTTTAAACGTGTCCTGCTTATATACCACCCCACAGTAATAATAACAAGAAGTCACAGTAATAACAAGAAGTTATTATTAACACATCGACATTATCAACTCAGAGCTGCAGAGCTGGAAGGGACCCAATGGATCATTGGATTCAACCCCTCTCAAGGAATCACAGTGGGGAATTGAACTTCCAACCTCTGGCTCTGCAGACAGGTACCTAAACTACTAATCTCTCCAGCGGTTCAAGTACTTGTTATATTAAAATTCTCATATTCTACTACTACTACTACTACTACTGCTTCCTCACCTTGGGTAATCCAGGTATACCCAACGTCAGGAATAACTGTTCTATTGCAATACAGTGGTGCCCCGCATAACGAGCGATTCGTTTAACGACAAATCCGCATAGCGATGTTTTTTGCGAACGCAAAAGCGATCGCATTGCGATGTTTTAAATGGTAAAACATCGCTTTGCGATGATCGGTAAGCATTTCGCTTACCGATTTTCGCATCGCAATGTTTTTTCTAACAGCTGATCGGCGGTTCCAAAAAGGCCACCAGGTAAATAAAATGGTTGCCCGCTGTGTTTTCGTGCCCTTTCCTCGCTTACCGGGCAGCGAAAATGGCGGCTGCATGGAGGATCTTCGCATAACGGTGAGTTTTTTGCCCATATGAATGCATTAAACGTGTTTTAATGCATTCATATGGGCTTCTTTGTCCCACATAGTGACAAATCCTTATAGCGACAATTTTTCCGGAACAGATTATCGTTGCTATGTGGGGCACTACTGTATTCTATTTCTTCAGCTTTTACTTTTTTAACCTCATTTCTGCAGAAAATGTCACTTCACAACCCCACCCTTGTACCTGCAGGAAGCTGTACAACACATTTGAGCAGGCTGTCCTGGCGCTGGACGATAAGCTCCGGCATCTGAGCCTCCAAGAACTGCAACATGGTTTTGTAGCCATGGCTAATGCTGATTTTCTGCAGATCAATCCCATCCTCAGCCAGCAGGAATTCTTGGACCTTCTTGATCTTCAAGCCCAACTTGTATTTGACCAGGAGGTTGGTGACTGCCGTCACAATGTTAGACAGATCTACCGGATCTACTGGATCTACTGTATAATGCAAATCACAGGTCAATATTTGCTTCAGAACTAGAATGCTCCACCTACAGTAGCTCGGGCTGATAAAACTTGCAGTATAGGAGCATCTGGAAAGACACAGCTATCCACCTAGGACATGAACTGGTTTTATGTCTATTCCCTTAGTTCTTGTTTGAATCTTTATTCCATTTTGTTCATTAGATTTTCATTTGAGGCGGATACATTTTCTACTAAAGTTTGTTTTTTACCCTTCTTCTATTCACTGGATCAGTTCTGAGTATCATGCCATAGGAGAGGATTTATCACAACTCAAGACCTCACCCACTATTCAACCCCTGGCACAGAAGGCTACTTCAAACAATTGTCACACTAGCACTGTACGGCACAACATGCATGACACCCAACAAAGGATTTGGTAAAGAATATGTCTGCAGACAAAGCATCTGAACTGGAAAAATGAATTACTGTGACACTGCATGTGTTACCTGGCTGATGGATGAATGAAAATGTTTAACCTTCCCCTGTCTTCAGTTGCTCTCGCAATAATATGTTATTTTCTAGATAACAGTTATAGAACCTAGAGCACAGGATTCTTCTAAAGCAGATCATTGAAGGATCCTACAGAAGGGCAATTCGGTTCAGCTTCTATTTACAAAACTAGCTTAACATGATGTTACTGCACACCCTTCCTGACCCTGTTGTCTCTGCTTGTTCAGAGCTTCCAATATAAATCTTCTTGGGGCTGGGATCTGTAATAGACATTTGAAGAAATCAGGGAGAGACAATCTGATAGGCCTGACATGGCTCATCCTGGCTATCAACTTGAGAGCACTGCTTAGGTAACACTGAGAAAAGGCAGCTAAAGGGGACAACACTGCATTTAATTTCTAGTGGGGGAGGAACGGATCCGGAAACTTTAAGAACAACTGAGTTGGATTGCCCAACCTATTACAACATGGATGGAAAACAGCTTTAACTACAATTCCCAGAAGCCTTGCCACCAGCTGTGCTGGCTCAGTTTTCTGGGAGCTGCAGTCCAATAGGGCTTTCAAGTAACTGAGGTATTTTAAGGAGTGGCTCTACCAGTTCCACTGCATGATGAGTTTCCACTCCTAAGCAAAGGATTCGAACACTGGTCTCCAGAGTTCTACTCCAACACTCTATCCAGTACAACACTCTCGGTTCCAGTTACTCAGTTACCTATTCATTGATTTAGAATATTTGTTTACTTCTTGATTTTATCAAGTCCCCACAGTTCCAAAGGAGACAAAAAAACTCAACAATGCAAAACAGGACATGCATTATTATCTGGGTATGTTTTCAAATCGCAATTAAAACAGATCAGCCTCTGCTGCTATGATTAGCAGAAGACAACATTCCATTAAGTGAACGTTAGCACTCAGCAATATGAAAAACAGTAGGTTTTACCTGGTACCAGGCTTGCAGTTTCTTCCACAGAATTCTGAGTATCAGAAGAGGTAGAAGATGGAGAAGCATCTGGAGGAGAAGAAAACAATCTCACCAAAACAAAGAGGATCTCATTTTAACTACGTATTTTCTGTTTATAAGATGCCCCCATGTATAAGACACCTCCCGCTTTTCTAATCCAAGATTAAGAAATCTAAGTGGGGCTTAGCAAGTGTAGGGAGAAAGGGATCAAAGCACTGCAGGATCGCTTTGATGCCTGCTTTCCCCTCCACTTGTTTTTGTTCTTTCCTCAGCTTACTTCCATGTATAAGACGGCCCTCAATTTTTAGTCTAAAGAATTTAGACAATAGTCTTATACATGGAAAAATACGGTAAATCTATGGGGTATATGGAGGGAAGCAAACTTTGACGCATGAAACCTGTTGACAGTGGCTCGGCACAAGGCTCAAAGCCACCTTCTGATTTAGATTAACATCACTGAACAGCAGTCAGTAATCAGACTGGTCCGTGGGCTGTTCTAAAATGTTCTGGTTCTATGTCGGGATCCTAAATCACAATATCCTCAAGAAGAGGAACATAATTCATTTTGCCTTTACAAACTTAACATGACTTTTACTGCATACCCTTCCTGCCTTTGTTGGGTCCTATGGGATTTGAAGTCCAAAGCATCTAACAGGGCTAAGATTGTCTGGGGTAGGTCTGCCCGGGATGGTCTGTCAAAAAAACCTGAGAGCACTGCATATATAACAGCAAGAAAAAAAGACACCAGTCTATTTAATTTCTAGTGAGAGAAGAACCGATCCTGAAACTTTAAGATCAACTGTGTTATATTGCCCAGCTCTTTAGAACATGGATGCAGGAAGCAAACAGAATACTGTCTGGCGTTGCATCCAAGGTTCCTCCTAAGTTGCATGCGTGCGAAGGGACACAGAGCTCCACTGGTGTGGCGCAGCAGCATCCGGGATGGATGCCTGTTTATTTCCAGGTTTTGGATGAAACCCTGCTCCCCGCATAGAAGGGATGAGGGTTACAGAGAATGCTGGTTGCATCATTTTGAGTGTAAACTGTTCAAGTACACTCTAAGTAACACACCTTCAAGAAACCAACATGAGGATCTCAGTCTCGACACAAATCCTTTCGAAGAAAGAGTCAGGATTTCTCCTCCACTACTACTTACTACCAGTAAAGAAAACGAGATCAGCTCAACTCTTGGCAGTTTAAAACTATGCTCCTTGTATATCACGCCACAGCACTTTAAGCACTCTCAGGACCATTTACAATCTAATTATGTAGCCTACACCTATTGCCCCGCAAGCTGGGTACTTAATTTACCCATTACAGAAAGACAGAAGGTTGAGTCAGACTCAAGGCGGCTACATGGGATTGACCCTGAGTTGTGAGCAGAGGTATGGCTGCAGTACTGCAGTTTAACCACTGCATCACAAGGCTCGTCTCAACATCAAATATCCAGGACAGCTATATGGATATGCATCAGTAATCCACCTTACTTTTATTTAACACCCTTGTTATATTTATATTCTAATAGTTTATGGGAATATTCTATTTCTTCCTTGTGTTCAAAATAGTCTTCTTGGTTCTCCATCTGTTAGATCCTAGTCTAATACAGTGGTGCCCCGCATAGCGAGGTTAATCCGTTCCTGATTAACCATCGCTATGGGGAAACATCGCTATACGGAACCGGAAACCCATTGATCCAAAGGGGCCCAAACTCACCGTTAAGTGAAGTTTCCCCATCCGGCCGCCATTTTCACACCCTCGGTAAGCGAGGGCAGGACGCGAAAACACTACGCACAGCCATTTTGGGCGTCCGGCAGCCATTTTGGAACCGCTGAACATCTGATTTTTAAAAATCGCTGTGCGGAAATCGGTAAGCGAAACGCTTACCGATCGTCGCAAAGCGATTTTTGCCCGATTCAATTATCGGTATGCGATCACATTAGCGATCCCAAAAAACCGGATTGCTATGCGAATTCGTCGTTAAACGGTGGGCTCGTTATGCGAGGCACCACTGTACTCTAACATATACATTACGACGACTCTAAAAGGTTTCAGGAATAGGCAAAAGATTGAAATGTTGGTGAGGTTTAGCCAGGATTTTCCTCCATTCCTACTTTACTACCAGTTAAGAAATGGGGATCAGCTCAATTCATGACAGTTAATTCTCTCAACACCAAGTTGCCAGGACAGATAAATAGATATGCACAAGTAGCATACCTTAATTTTTAATCATCATCATCATCATCTTAGAACTAGAAGGGACCAAACGGATTATGAAGGCCAGCCCCTTTCAAGGAATCAGTGGGGAATTAAACTTCCAACCTCTGGCTCTGCAGCCAGATATCTAAATCACTGACTTACCCAGGACTGCAATGTACTTCTTAATATTAATATTCTCATATTCTACTGCAGTGTTTCCCAACCTTGGGTAATCCAGGTATTCTTGGACTGCTATTCTTGGAAGCTTTAAAACCAGCTGTGCTGGCTATAGTTTCAGAGGGTTGCATTCCAAGGACAACTGGCTTATATCCAAGGTTGGGAACCACTGTTCTATTGGAATATTTTCTTTCCCCATCATCCTCAGGATGGTATCCTTGGTTCTCTAGCTCCCAGACTGCCTGCCTATTTTCTGCAGAAAAGATCACTTCCCAACCCTGCCCTCGTACCTGCAGGAAGCTTTACAACACAATTGAGCCGGTTCTCCTGGTAGTGGATGTTTAGCTCCGGCATCTTGGCCTCCAAGAACTCCAGCGTGTCCGTGTAACCTTGGCTGATGCTGATTTTCTGCAGATCTATTCCATCCCTAGTCCGCAGGAGTTTTTTGACCTTCCTAATCTTTAAGCCCAATTCGCATTTATCCA